CCTTCTGAAGAACCGCTCGCCTTCTACGTGTATGGAGACGAATCGCGGTTGACGGAGCGGAGATGACGAGCAGGGGATCTCTTCCCTGGAGTATCGCGTACGTGAGGTCATTGGTGTAGTGGGAAACGATGCTATGATTGATAACATGTGTAGTATGTACCACCCCCCCACCCTGAAATACGCATTTGCCGACGTTTTCTTGACTACCTCACACAGCCAGCATTAAATCGTGATAAGAGTTCAACACCGCCTCCGCCTTGATCTTGAATTTTGATCTTTCCAATGTCCACTTCGACAAAAGTTCCTTACACCCTCAGACCGAGTTGGGGGCTCAGGCGGGAACCTTCTCTTACCTTTTTGCGTGAAACTGACTGTTCCGCCCGGGCCGTTCTACATTGTTGGAGGTCATGAGTACGCGTTTGGGAGCCCTGATTCCTGCAGGTACGAGCTGCTTGCCGGAGTGAGATTTTCAACAAACTCTTTACAGGTATCGTCTACTACCAATGAGGATCTGACTGGTGGAGCGCAGCACAATATGAAGTACCGTGCTGTGTGCTACTTCGAAGAGGACACTACTGTCCCCGTCTGACCCTCGCAATGGGAATGACGCACCACTGCGTACGTCTCATGAAGCGCGAATTTCATTTTTGAATACCTACGCTTCGGGCAGTGCGGCACCGCCCAAGTTCAGGCTGAGGGTTGTAAGCTACATAAGAAGGCTCGTTTCTAGCCATTCTCTTGACCAAGCTTTCCTTCTTTCTCCCTTTTCTTCTTTTTTGTTCACGATGATGATGTTTCATTCCATTATAAGGGCCTGTTTGGATACCGGCAGCGGCAGTTCTGCCGCTGCCGCTGCGAGTGGCTGTGCACTGCCGGCAAGTGCCGCAGAGTGCTCGCTGCTACTTTCTCGTGTTCAGCGCCACACAGAAGGCGCCGCCGGAGTTCTAGAGTTCTGAGAATGTCTCATAATGAAGTATTACGCCTTAAAAAACTACCAACGTGTCTGCCATTGACCCCCAGAGTGAATATGGATGTACTGCGAAGCTAAGTAGTTCCGGAGCATGAACATACACTTTGCACTGTTTCAATAAAGCGGGAAGGTACCCAGAGGTCTATTTATGCAACTAAAAGCAGTTATGCCCTTCGCATCCCACCTTAAACATAGGATTATGCTCAATTCAATATTCTGCATCCTGACAGGTCTCTATCCAGCGTTTAGCAATGGAAGAGGGGCTTGGGCTTCTCAAACACTCTCATATTATGCCCTTACATGAGTACACTAGTCACCATGCATGGCATCACAATAGATAGAGATGATGGCTCACCAGAAGGTGGTATAGGTCAATTCTACATTGTCTCCTCATTATAGTCATACTTCCACTACTTTAGCGGTCCCAATGGTACCAAATAGTCATTATGAGACATTCTCAGAACTCTAGTAGTCCGGCGGCGCCTTCTGTGTGGCGCTGAACACGAGAAAGTAGCAGTGAGCACTCTGCGGCACTTGCCGGCAGTGCACAGCCACTCGCAGCGGCAGCGGCAGAACTGCCGCTGCCAGTATCCAAACAGGCTCTTTATGGACGGGGTAGCCTCCGATGGGGATGCAAGTCAAGTTCAACCCTCCATCCTTTCCTATGATACTAATGGATGATTAATCGCAGAAACGAGCCCGGTTCACGCAAGACGTTGTTGGCGGACTTCAAATGCAGGAGCCATCCTTCAACTACGTGATTGTCCATACCGCACATATGGTCGCTTTTGATGGTGTTGAGGGCGGTCGACTGGGGTCATAGACACCAGGAGTTGGATATTGGGGGGACTATTGGGTAAGCCTTACAACGGGTCCGCGGGAGACGGCTGACAACGGGACATTCACTCTTATGGGTGATGGCGGATTCACGAACGTATGTCGACACTTCGGACCTGTATACCACACTAACGTTTACCCCCCGACATACATTGGTGTTGTTACCTCAGACACGATGGGAAGACCCCGTACTATACAGTTTGCCTCTCCGGTGTAGGCTGCCGGTGTGCGCGGATAAGAGACTCGGTTGGGGTGGTTTCATTTACGTCTTTTCGATTGGACTTTTTTTTTTAATTTATAATGAATGCATATTTTTGATGTCCCCATGAACGTTCTGAGGATACAGTACCCTCAACCATGCAGAAGTACGCTACGAATCGAAAAACTATCCAGTGTAAGCCAAACGGCGTAACCTCTAGGTCTTCGGCAGTGTAGAAATCTGTGACGCTCTGGGTGAACCGCCTGCTGTCCGAGACGTACTCTGGCCCAACAATAATGTCCTTGTTAATGAACGATCCTGTCGTCAGGTGTATGGCAAGTTTGAGACGTAGCCCAAAGATTTGAATCGGAATCTCGCGCATCCGCAATACGATGTCCTCGATCTATCTGTTATTCCCTAGGGCAAAAAACGCGCTGGGAGTTTCCAAAATGAACGTACAGTCACATCTTGAAGCTGGGTGGCTGCCCTCAGATCCCCTTGTTTGCCACAAAAGGCAAATTGAACCAAAGGAAGAAGCAGTCAGTCGAAGCCCGCCCACCTCGTAGCAGAGCTCTATTCTCCGTACACCCGTTTTGCCGCACTCCTAGTAGGTCAGATCACCACATAATCACAGAATAGTTGTCTGAGAAACTACCAGAAACTTGTTGTTGTCTTCGCCATCTCACCCTGTCTTTGCTCTTCACCTTGGACCACGTATTTCTCGAGCGCATTGTATTGGCTCGGGATGTTTGCGACCAGAACACGTCTCAGTCATTAGATCATTTGCGCGTATTCCAGGTATCATTGGATGCAGCAACCTTCTTCGGACATGGGTACCTAAACTTGAATGATGGGGACAACATTAGCGTTGCTGCTAACGGAGATGACAGAAGTGGTTCTTTGACGCGCGGCGACATTTGATTCACCCTTTCTCATAACAGCAGTAGGAATCCTGGGCCCATCAGTGGTAGAGCGCGTCACTAGTATTGACCATCCATCGTACCACTTGTTAAGACGAGGTCAGTCGTTCAAGTCGGCTAGAGGGAAAAGGAGCTGGTCTTATGAGACGACTTTTTGCTTGTCCATGTGGCGCATTTCTTGTAGCATAAAGACTTGCGTCGCTCTTAGTTGTATTGAGTTGTGTAGACCCGGATTGAGTGCAGCGTCGGATTGTAAGCGCTTGCGGCATAAGCTCGATTCCTCCACGACTTTTGAGCACTAATATACACACAGCACATGCCAAGAATTGGCTTGCATGAAACTGCAACGCCTACACTCTGATTGACTGTATGATACGCGTCCTAGATGTGGATGCTACAAGCATTGCATTGCATACAGCATGGATCATACATGCGACATATTTTGTACCCTAAGATTGCCCTAATAGACGTATCCCAAAAGCTTACCACCAACGTTCTTGCGACGCGCCTCTTCGTGGTCGAGGATACCGGAGGACGTGGTCTACAAAAAGAAGATGTTAGATTATGGATAGGGAACGGAGAAGGAAACATACGAGAATGATAATCCCAAACCCTCTACTGGGGAGGAGCAAGTTGACCCAGCTCTCGATCTGGGTTACCTGGACGTTGAAGCGGGGAGAGATGACGCCGGTTTTGTTGAGGCGGCCGTTGAGCTCGATGACGATCTTGCCGGAGCGGTGGTCGTCGATGATCGTGAATTCACCGATCTAGCAATGGGGGTTAGGATGTGCGGTGGATGGAGGAAAGCGTAGACGCACGTATCCGTGGCGCTGCATGACGGACAAGAATTTGACGACGACCTTGGAGGAGGGGCGGATGAGGACCTGGCGCTTGCCGCGGCGCTCGGCGTTGACGATGTTGTTCTGTAGATGCGTGTTCATGAAAATTCGGGTGCAAGATGGGAAAACACGCACCAAGCAATCATTGAGGACAGAGACGCGGACCATTTTGCAGTGGAATGTGCAAAGCAAGTATGGCTAGCTTTTTCTATAAAAAATCATGTTAGCTGCCCGGGGAGTGTCCCATAGGATTCGACCGGGCATAGCGCACGCACTGGAGGGGAGACTTGAAGACAGAAGAACAAAAGATTAAGGGGACCGCGATCATCAGCAATCACACTCAAAAAACCGTGAGAACATGACATCAGCAACTGGTAAGCCACCCGGAGAATTCCGGACCCCCGATTGATTTTTGATCTCTCTACAAGCAGACCACCGCTAGCAACAAGACATTCAAGCAACATGGTGCGCCCTCTTCGTCGCTGTGCTCGCTAATGCCGACGTATTCTTCGCACAGGGCCGAGTCCGCACCAAGACGACCAAGCGCGCGAGCCGAGTGCTCATCGAAAAGTACTACCCCCGCCTCACCCTCGATTTCCACACCAACAAGCGTATCGTCGATGAAGTCGTGCGTAGCCTTGCGTTCCTTTCCTGCTCGTCCGCTCTGACTAAACCTCTTGCAGGCCGTGGTGCCCTCTAAACGCCTGCGCAACAAAATCTCGGGGTTCACGACGCATCTGATGAAGCGCATCCAAAAGGGCCCCGTCCGCGGCATCTCGTTCAAGCTCCAGGAGGAGGAGCGCGAGCGTAAGGATAACTATGTCCCGGAGGTGTCTGCTCTCGAGGGCGAGCTTGAGGTTGACCAGGAGACAAAGGTATGTTATTACATGTGCTTGCTTTGACTCCGCTTATGCTGGTGCAGGACCTCCTCCATGCGCTCAACTTTGATTCGATCCCTGTTACCGTCGCGCAGCCCATCATCCCCGATCGCGCACCCCGCCGTGAGAGGCGGAACGTTCCTGGCGCAGGCCGGTAGACCGTAGTCGATAACGATGCTTATGCTATTGTATGCTGTATGCCTAAGAATGCGATTCGTCCGTCTGCATGTACATTGTCTGTTGTCTCCTTTAGCCCTCATACATCGGTTCTATAGAGAGAGCAATAAGAATCCCTTACACTGTCAACCAAACGCCACAGATCAAAAAACAGTGTGCCATGGCACTGCAATATCTGCATTCCCTCTAGCCGACTTGAACGACTCACCTCGTCATCACTCATCTTTGCTCATTATACTAGTGACACGCTCTACCACTGAGCTAAGAGGGACGACACAACAGTATTTTCCCATCTAACTAGCAAAGTCTACGGTGAGTGCGCCACAAGCAATGCTTTGATTCATAGTGATATCCCAATCCACAACTTCATTGGGCATCAGTGGGGTGCTTTATACTCAAATGTGTCCTCTCAGGTTGTCTTTATGTGATGTTTGCATGTGCACATGGTGTCAAGGCAAAATGGAATATGGCACGAGAGAATCAACAGATGGTGCTGCTGAACAAGGCTATAATCACCTGCCGCAACGCGCTGCTGCAGTGACAGACTGGAGGCTCCTTCTTGTCTCGGCTAGTATTACTTACAAGGACTCAGGGAACAATCTATCGGCATAGAAACACAGGAATACATTGAGCTGGTCTGCCCTCAGTTTCTCTTCTGCAACCTGCATCAACTGCAGGCGAGGTAGTACCCTGTTAGCGACTGACTATAGCCACAAGACTAAACCAGGTACCACAGCAAGAACTAAGGAAGAAAGTGTTCATGTTCGTAAGACTAGGCTAGGTCAGGTGTATAAACAAGATTGGAACTAAAGTACAATGATGCTACACTACTGCTTATATACTAGTAAGTCTGTGTTTGGGACTCCTTGTCCATACACGTTTCCGCTAGAGATGCTCCATGCCCTTGACCCAGTGTTGTATGCTACTAGTCCGTGAAACCATTAAATACGAGTGGTAACTGCATGTAAGTAATAATACTGAAACTAACCATATGTGCTACAAGTGTTGGTGGTGTGTATACAATAGGAAGTCCATGAGGTATCAGCATGTATGATGTCATCCATATGTTGGGCGTGTGTCCGACATGAGTACGGCTTTGGTAATGAAAAGGTGTGTGATTGGTGACGAAACAGATGATGAAACAGTCCGTTGGTTGATAAGACAAGCCCTCGATAAGATATGATAAGATTGAAAATATGAAAATATGGCGATTCATAACAGAACAAGCCATCGCTGGCAAGGTCTTCAAGCGACATCCACGACACATTTCAGCCAGCATCAGATTGTGTTTGTCCTTGGTACTCTACATGAGGGGTCTGCTACTGGATGGATAGCGATTTGAAGACAATCTGACCCCACCAGGTGAGTGACCGTATCACGGCCGTATGACCGATCCGTTGACCGTACTCCAAGATTGCTCACGGTACGGGTACCGTAACCCGTATGCCATACCATATGCACCGTACATACGGTACGGCACACATCCCTAGTGAAAATATGGCGGTTCATAACAAGTCAGTGCGTTGATCATCATAAGCATGCACAAAATGTACCATCAGCGCAAGATCCCCAACAATAAGTCCTTTCTTTGATAGTGCTTCTGTCACCTGGAGTGTTCAAAAGAGTGCAAGGCTATTTGTAATGTTACAAGCAGGTCTGAAGATGTAAATTGCGCCACGGATACAAAGGACAAGCCGAATCCTTGATTCCCTTGAACACTGTCCATCTCTAGTGACGCGCTCTACCGCTGAGCTAAGAGGGATGTTTGCTGCCATTGTGGCGGCCTGATCCGAGCTATGTACATTATTCTGATAAGAAAACGATCCCCGCTGCCCTCTTGAGGATTCGTATGGTCTAGGAGTAATACCAAACAAGTCGAAAAGTCAGTCTGTCGACCACAGTAGATGGATAATCAGAATCTCAGTGCATGTGAAGAAGCCCGCACTGAGGTTATTGGACCGGCGACACGAACACTACCCTCCGCGGTTTCCTTTTGTGTCCGAAATTTCCCTTCCCAGATAGCACCTATTCAGTGTCGTTCAGAAACCCACCATCGCCCGTTAAGGTACACTCCCCCAATCTCAAAGCTCGTACCTTAAACATCATTACACCTATAAGAGCGCGCAAAAGTAAACCACGCACCCAACCAAGCCTCCGACCTTGAAATTCAATTCTTGATTCTACTAGACGCCATCACAGTCAATTGTGTGTAGTCGGAAAGAGGAATCTTGAGGCTACTGACAGCATAGCACGTTTCTGCGGTGACTGGAAAGAGGAAAAAAACAGACCTCGTTGACTTGATTGACGCCGTCTATGATACCTTGAATTATGGATTCGAGGATAGCCAGGAAACCGCTGGGATTAAGGAGTTGGGGAAAGATCTGACGGCGAGCAAGAAGAAGACGAGGTGTGATGCAGCTATGAGATCAGAGAGAAAAATGGCCTTGGGAAGAACTCAGAAGCGGATAAAAGACAGTGTAAATGTGTTGGAGGATAGCCTAGGATGTGACTCGGATGGTACGACTCAAGTCTTCAACAGAGCAGTTTCCGCGGTCGCCACAAATGTTAACTCCTGCCAGAGTTTCATGTACACCAGAGACATTCGATTCTGGTGGACTGCATCCTTCTTGGTACTGTGACTGTAGATAGAAAAGGACGCGTCATTTCAGGAAAACGAAACGATGAGCGTTCGGAGAAGAACACGTACACAGGACCGAATAATTCGTCTCGGGTCAAGATATAACTTCCCCTGAATGCCGTAGAACAGCTGGAAGATAAGACGGTCATGATCAAATGCCATTAAGTCTGCGGGGTGTTCTACAAAGACAGCGGTGGTACAGCGAACGAAAGCAATATAAATGACAGGGTATAAGAAATACGAAGATACAGTAGTATACACAGTGCAGGGTCCCATGCGACGATGAGAAACGATAGTAATTGAAACAATGTGGGTGGATATGCAAGAGAAGGGCGCGTCGAATGGATCAACATTCCGCACGCGCGCGGGCGTAAAAGGAAAAGAGGACTTCATCCGTAGATGACGCTGTACATAGATGCCATCAGTCAAACGCCATCATCCCCCCCAAAAAAAAACACGCACCCTCTCGACGTAGTCGACTTTGGCAAAAACTCGGTCTGGCCGCTTTCCACGCAGTGGTGGAGCGTGCTCAGCCAATCGTCGCGCATATCCCATGTTATTCTTGAGGGCGCGTCGACCTCGACCGGCATCACCTGGCTCACGGACCCGCACTGGATCACAATCACGAGCGTCCCAATCCCCCCACCATGTCGACACCGCTCCTCGCGACGCTGGATATCGGCTATGACAACGGGATCGTTGATATACGTTCGTGGGATGATGTGCGTGGCGGCGATGGAAAACCTGTGAGAAGGGGATAAGAAAACTTAAATAGATGAAAGGGAGTACTGGGACTTACCGACGACTCGCGTCACTACTGCTACGAGGGGTGAGCTCTATGAGGAGCGCATTCGAGCGGATATTGGAAGGAATGCGTTTGAGTTGCAATGCTTGGAAGCCGACCCAGCCCAGCAGCGTGTTATATGCCGATGTGAATTTACGGAGATTGCGGGCAACGTCGCTCTCCCCATACACCTGCTTCGCCGACGATAGCTGACTCGATGTGTGGTGGCAAACAGTCTTGTGTACGGGCCAGTGAATCTTTTGGCAGGCCGGGGACTAATGAGTCATAGGGTCAGTGTTATCACTCGGGGGGCGAGGTAAGGGATCGGCGCGCACACAGTATTGGGTGACAAGCTGAAAGAGCTCTTAGTATCGGGATGAAAGAAGGGGGTGGACAAAGACGTACACATCCTCCGCATAAGCGGAACTTGGCGATAGCTGGGTTCTCAACAGCGCCGCACTGGTCGCAGAGACGGTGGCCTCGGGGCTTTTGGCTATAGTGGGGCATCGTGTATTAGGTCGGGTCTGGGGCCGTTAAGGGAATTCGAAATGTAGACGGAACGGAACCGTTAATGCGAAAGAGCACGAAACGAAGTTGACTCACGTTTGCAGGTTATATAGTCCATGCACAGGACGGAATGGGCATAGCCCGTTATGGATGACGGATGGCAAAACAAAAAGAAAAACGCCTCAAAGCGACGTCTTTTTGTTATTCGAGACATCTTCTCCTGTTGTGTGGGGATTTCTGGAAAGGCAGGTGGTGAAAAAAGACAAAAAGGGTGATGGGAAGACAAAAGAGAGATCGCCATCACTAGTTTCCTTTTCCGGGCGGTTGACAATAACGCACCTTTACCCTGCGTATCTCCGTTGCGCGCCTAGACAATAAACGAACGAACAGCTGGCTCGTAAAAACATGTGCGGATCCTAATCCGTCGATTCCCTTGAGAATCCCGAATTGGGAGAGGCCTGAAAATGAAGGAGAGGTGTGTCTAATTGTATTGTATGACACAAAGGATTCCGAAGACGTTATTACTTCCGCGCAGGAGAGGCGCAGGGCCGACGCTTCGTGGCTCCGCCTCGTGTTCACGTGGTTTCAATTACGCCTCCTTTTCGGGCATCACCTTCCAAACGCCATGGGTCGAGACAAGGACAGTTAGACAACCGCTGCAGATGTTAGCTCTGATCGTCGCACCAGTTACGCCCCCAAGAATGACAGCTAAGGTGATAGCTAGACGGACACCAGGGGACCGAGGACAAGACGCGATTGCATTATTAGAGCGTAGCGTTTGAGATGGCTGATGTGGCGCTTAAAGGACAGCACGCGGCGGTAAGGGAAGCCGTAGACCTCAAGTCAAAATACACCATTCAATGAAAACTTCCTCTTTGATACGAGAAGTTTAGCGCCGCGGGGTAAGGGACACCTCCGCTGCGTTGCCTTGTCCACACAAAGAGAAGTACATGCTTGATGGGTTTCCAGACACGAGTTTGGTACGTGGTCGTGAATAGTGTGAATGGAAGGAGAATAGCACAAAGGGAATACGAAAAACGAGTCGTGAAACAGTGCTGGTGTGTGAAGGGGGACCTACAAAGATCGTGTCGTCCGCATCAACCAAGTGCCAAGATCCGACCACGAGTTTTCAATGAAGATCCAGATCATTTCTGCACCTCATCGCCTTACTAGAAAGCTAGAAGGTACCATCTTCACAGATTAACCTGCCTGTTATAACAATGATAGCACAAGTACTATCAAACCTAGAATCCATCATTACGAGATGGACTCCGAGCCGCTAGGTGCACCAGTGGCACTGGTACTATCTGCTTGACGCCACCGAAGTCGGAGGATACGTCAT